AGTAAGCCCCAGTTCTTACCCACGGCAGTATTCTCTCACACTGAAGATTACGGTAAGCTGATCATTGCTAGTCTCCATGGTATGATTGTATTGTCTGTAGTACTGATGGGAGAAGAACATCAAAATATGATATTCTGTTGGGAGACAAGGACAACTCAGTCATACAAACCATTATTCACTTGTTAGTTGATGAATAGTTCCAGCTGGTTTTATTTAATTATTTTGAATATACATACACCCTCTCTCTCTCCCCCTCTCTCTCTCTCCCTCCCTCCCTCTTTCTCTCAGCTCATCAAGGTCCTGTTAGAACTCTCTGTCACAGTCCGTTGGTCCCTGCATTCATAACTGGGGGAGAAGATTGTAAAATAAGATTCTTCTGTTGCAAGGACCGCCAGAACTAATTTTACAGAAAAATAAATGTACATAAATGACATTTTTGCAGAGCAAAAATAATTGAACTAATTAAATATTCATTAATATTAGCCACGCCTATTAGTAGTAGCCCCACCCCTTTTGCTGCAAGCACTGGTAACTTTTCGTTTCTCTTTTTCTTAAGTTTTTTGTTGCTTTCCTTTAGTTAAAGGAGAGAATGGCGGCCAGGAGAGGGACTGCTAGTAGCTTAGTTGAAAAGAAAAGGAGGGCGGACGAGAGAAAGACATTGTGCAACGAATTATCAAGCACAATCAAAGTGGTGGGGGAAGAAAGAGTATCGTGTACGTGATAATAATAATTATTATTATTGTTTTTAGATTCAAGAAGATCACGTGAGAACTAAACTAGTCAAAGGGTAAGAGAACTCGTTACATGTACATGTACACGATTGTTTGCCATGTCTGAGTGACCACACCCACTATTGATATTTGGAGATGTTCAAAGTTTGCATTTGAGCCATAACTTTTATGATTTGAAAATTATTATATATACTAAATTTTTTAGGGTTCATTTTGGTGCCGTTCAGCTTTGTGAGATATTGGAAGCCATTTTCTTACACGAACTGAAAGATAAAAGAGTAAGTTATTATCATTATTATTATCATTATTATTATTATCATTATTATTATTATCATTATTATTATTATCATTATTATTGTTGTTGTTGTTATTATTATAGGGTGTATTATGGAGAGAAAAAGTTAGCTCTGAGCCAATGGCAGACCTACCTGAGCCTGTAAATCATACACAATCCATTTCTAACGATATACTGTATCTTTTAGAGTTTTTGGTCTTGCATTTCTCCGTTAGTTTCAGACGAA